AATTAGCATCAGCGATGTAAATTCATAATAACACAGCCTTCATAATAATGTGTTTAAGATATAAATTATAGCCCTACTCTAATATATATTGCCTGGTACTTGTACTATTTTTGTCCACACTTGGCTATACTGGTTTTAGACCAACCAAGTATAGTAATATGTTAATTGAGAATCCATGTGTAAATCATAAAAAGTCTTTAAATAAATCTGCTGTGCCTGTGGCTGTAATTGTTTTATTTGTGGGTATGAACACAACTTCCTTTGAGAAGCAATTGACCACTATTACTGAATCATACCCATTTGACCCAGGTGTAACAACCAAAGTTTTGATACTCTGGCACACAACTCAGACAAGCAAGTGTGATGGAAATAGAAGTGGATAAACCCCTTAGTGGTAGGACCAAGTTAGCTGTGGGTAAACAACAGAAGGACTTGCTGAGGAGTCTCCTGGATCTATTGCAATATTTATACTACTACAGGTTATTTGTATATGTTGTACTATACAGCTGATAAAAGTAGTGGTTGATGATATCATAGAGCACAGCCTATTGTCATGCACCAAAGTTGATTGGTAGCATGGACAGGTGTCAAAAATGAAGCAAATATTCAAAAAGACTCACCTTTGCGCCACACAGGCACAGTGCCACGTGGAATAGTAATTAATATTGCCTTTTTTGAACTTGTGGCTGATCAGCACAACCTCTATTAGGCAATTCAGTTGCGTTCACCTTTGCTTTTCCATTCGGTACTTTCCACATTTTGGCATTTTGGCAAATTTTTGCGTCGCCACGGGCTACACATTGCGCCCTTGCTTTCGTCATTCTCCCTTACTTTTTTTCTTTACTCAGCCCCACCATGGGACCCTTGATCTCTTTTTTATTCTCACCTGACGGTCGCTTCTGGATCCTCATTCTAGTTCACCTCCTTGTCACCTCCACCCTCCTCCTGCTCGTCATCCTTGCTCCCCCACCATACCTGATGTCACCACTCTCCATCCGCTTCCATTTCCGATCTGTTGACCAACACGTGCCACTGCTGATATCAGCAAAGTGTGAGGAATCGATTTTTCTTATCGCATTCCCGTCATGTCGTGGTTAGCAGATTCGATCCCCATCACTCCTCTTGCCCTTGGACTAGAGATTACAGCTGGTGTCTTATTACTTTTATCATTTTTCTTCTTATTCTCTCTTCACACTCACGTTCTATCGTACCTACAACGAGGTAGACTCGTTGTCGACCCTCAAGAAGATATCCAGATGACATAGCCACGATTCAGTGCTATGTCTGGGAATACTTCGGAGGAATATTGATAAGCGAAGAAGGTAGTGAATCAGCGCCTTCTCATGGGCTTACTGATACAGCCAATCGCATATCCCTTACCAATACGTTTTCTGATACGATTAGTAAACACGATAGATCGGACCACTTCCTCCCTTTTTTCTTATTGGTTAGTTAGCTGGTCAGACCACTTTCTCAGTAGTTCCCTTTCTCGGTCTGACCATCGCCGTTCACTATATAGAGAAGTATATACTCAATGTATTGTTCTCTAGTTCAATATTAGTTTGGATTTGCGCTCTTACCGATACTCTTCATTCTCATACTCTGATTCACCGCCTTCAAGGAAGGACTTGACCAGACATTGAGCTTTGTTATATAGCTTCGTATTTGTTGCCTGACACAAAGCCCTGGCGGCCAGTCCAAGTTGGGCAAGAGGTCCATCTTCATGAAGTTGATCTTCCATCATATACCATCAAAACATTGGTTGCTCATCTCGCCTGGTTGGAGTGTGGGTGGGTAGTTTTTGAGCTGGAGAAGGTTCATCCCCTTGCGTTGCCCATGTACATTGCCATCCCATTCACTTGGGTACACTTATCTTTCGTCCATCGTCTTAGCTACAGCTACAGCTACTATACGCTGCCTGGGACTCACTTGTTCCAAATTGGAACTACTCCCCTCTCTCCCTTGTTTGACCAGGTGGTCCAGTATAACCAGTCCATTGGTAAGGCCATGGAACCATCGGATTTGGAATAGGTGGTGGACCGGTGGCTCCAGTCTCTTTTTTTCAGCAGAACATTCATTTACAGTGCAATTATTTTTGATTTTTGAATCATTTTTATGGACACATATTTTTTTAGAATGCCTGACTGACAATAAAGGAACTGTGTTGATACTGATATTGTTTTTCTATATCCTCTTTTTACTGCATCTTCCCATGACTTGACTATGATTTTCTTGCTTTTTTTCTGTTTTTGGACTGTATTTTATGGCTGTACAAACCTGTGATGTTACTTACACAGCATTTATTGTTCTATCTCTTTTTTTTTCCTTATTTTGACAATCTTATCCTGTACTACCTACACAGGATTTGTCGGCATACATTCCTTCCTTCATGTTCTTTCTCATTCTTTTTGCACAGCTATACTGTGCATAGCCTACTTTTCTTTTACTATATAAACCCCTGTATTTTACCTTGTAAAAAGAACAAGAACTCCAATCCAGACTGGCGGAGGCAAGCAACAGGCCCGGTCAGAGGAAAGAGAAAGCAAAGTTTTGTATTCTAAATCCAATCAACAGTGCTTCCACACCAGCTGCTGAGCTAAGGTACTCCCCTTGACACTGGGGGCCATGTATATTTGTTTGGTTCTTTCTAGTACCTCGGAACAAAGAGCTCGCAACAAACTCGGGGTACATGCTCAAGTTTCTGCCAGCTAGCAAATGCTCAGCACCGGTCTGGCTCCCAAGTCTTACTGTTTGAAAGATGTTCACTTAACCCTGTGGTCTGAGTTTGCACAAAGTGTGAGAGAGTAAGAAGAGCAAGTCCTAATGTTATAACCTAGAGTTTGTATACTCTGGCACACAACTCAGACAAAGCTATAAAGAAGTGAGGGGAGTGGTTACCCTTTGGATAGGACTGAGTTTGTTGTGGGTAAACAACAGGAGGACTCGCTGAGGAGTCTCCTTGATCTATTAGGGTATATATACTACTACATGTTTGTTTGTACATGTGTACTATACAGTTAATAAAGGCAGTGGCTGATGATGTCATGGGGCACAGTTTATGTGGCCAGCTCCACTGTGTGAGATACTTGTAGCTAAAAAATAAAGAAAGGCAGTGCAGCGTGAGAAGGTGGAGTTTGAACAAAATGAAGAGTGCCGCATAGCACAGTGTGTGAAAACTACAGAAGAAAGTTAAAGAGGAGAATCAAATTTAAAGGTCTGAAAGTTGTGTATCGTAACAGCCGCTTTTATCTGCAGGAGGAGGAACACTATAGATTTGTGTCCCTTTCTATTGACGTCAATGTGTACATTGGCCAAGCTTGGGTGTCGAGATTTATCAAAGGAAATTATGGTATGGAGACATGCAAATACTGCTGCTCCCAGTGGGTTGGATAGGTCTAAATGATCTTTAACAAGTTAAATCATGTCAGTAGTAAAGGGTATTTGTTGTGGCTGTTTAGCTTGTGGAGGGGTTAAAATGTTGGCTGCCATCATGAGTGTGGTGAGTCTGTTCTTGTCAATCAACCATGTGAGATCATTGAGTAGATGCCATGCTTGTACCCCATGGAAATAGTTGTTTATGGTTTTGTGGGAGTAAGTCCCTGCCATGCTGGAAATCAAGGTCTCAATGAGATGAATACTGGCTGGTGCTCTGTCTGGTTCCAATATGCCTCACAAATCACAGAACGTATGATAGACTAATAGTCCGGACCCATAGACTTCTTGGATTGAAGTTGACCATGCATTGACCATTACGTGGCAAGTCTGTTCTCTGTCACTGGGCTGTATGAGGGACTCAGTCGATTTGAGATGTTATGGAATGTGTGGTTTCCATAAAAAGATAGAGGACAAAGGGTTGTGATATTTTCTGGCTGCTGGGTTCAGATATGGGTGGGATTATGAATTGAGTTGGGGGTGGAGATGAGAGTAGGGAGTTGTCGTGTTCATAGATGAGGGATGGTTATATGTTTTGATTCAATGGTTGGAGTAAGGGGATGGGAATGAGATTTGGAAGTCTTCAAGGGTTTGACGGATGGTGGGAGAAATAGAACCTCTTCCCATGAACACTGGATATTCGATGAGGAGGCAATCAGCATCATTTGGGATGAAAACGGAGGGAAGAAGGTCTTTGATTGCCATGAAAACCCCTCTGGATGGTGGGCCGGCTGGATTGAGCTTTATGTGAACATACTGAGTGAAGATGCAGCAGTTTATTGCCATTGTGAGTGATACGATTGATCTGAAGACTTTGTTGACTTGTGCATTTTGGCTGTGTCTTTTTTAACCAGGCGTTAATGACTCCTTGATTGTCTCTGTATATACATAAGTGGGTGCTTTCTTGGATGAGAGGTAGGATGGTCTTGACAGCCAGTTAAAACACCATGGCTTCTGCCCAACAGAGACAGTGATGTCTCTGCTATGGGTTTTCCAGGTGGGATCAAGTCTCCATGCTCACCATTGCTTTCCAATGGTGAGTTTGATGCCGACTGATAAGCTTACATCAAAGGATACATTAAGGTTGAGGATAGGTTTTGGTTGAGGTATGATTTGGGATGGGTTGGGTTGAGAGAGATGGTTTTTCCACCAGAGTACAACTAAGTAAGTGCCCTTTGGTGCATGTCTTGCTTTGAAAGGCTATTCATAAAAAATGGCTGTAAATTCCTCAAGGTTGGTCAGACAGGTGTTTCATTCAGTAACCACAAGGGCTGTATGTTGCAATTTTCCTAATACACCACAGGAATAAAACAGTAATAACCAGACTAGCTTGCTTCTAATATGTAACTAAAAAGTTGACTCTCAGTTTCCATTTAGCCAAGCTGTTATTGTTTTAGTGTTTAAACAACTATATTTATGATAGCTTTACTATATAATTGTTGATTATTTGTGTAAAAGATGTACTAGTTTAGTGGTAGTTTAATGTTATTATTTTGAGCTTTGGCTTTAAGTGAGTGACATTTGTTAGCTTGCTAATACCTAAAACCCTAGCCACAAACCAGTCTTTGTTATGTTGGTGGGTTAATTGCTAGTATTTTGAATTTCAACTTTGTGTCTGTGACATCTGTTAGCTTGCTAATACTGGCATCCTGAGCATTTGTGATGTTGTGGGTGGTTATTGTTGCAACATCCTCTGTGTCTCTGCCAGTCAATGTATATGGGTTTACCACCAGGATTGATGATTCTGCCTCTTTCTGATTTTGTACATCTGATGGGGGAGCCATCCCACATGCAGTCTGCGTTGCATTTGGGAAAATCATGGGGGTATGAGCCAAGGCATAATGCACACACTGGATTGGTGGGCATTTTTGTGACACAAAAGGAATGATTGTCACGGTGTTTATGATGTTGATGGTTGCGATGATGATAACAGTTATCGTGGGATGTGTTGCGGGATCTTGACTGAGGGCAGCTGTATGGTTTTTTCTGCCTTCTGTATGGAGATGCATTGTGATGTATGCGGTAGGTAGTTTGTTCGGCTTTTGGGCCTGCATGAGTGTCACTCATCTGACGGTTATGATATCATGTATATATATGATGCATGTGCAAGTGTTGTTGTTACAATATATGATTTTTATTCAATTATAATTATGTGAATGCATTTGCATTTGCATGTGCATGTTGTTGTTACAATTTCATCTACACCCTTTATTTCTTTTCTTTTCTTTTATCTTATCTTGCATTGCCACACAGACATTCTATCTTTGGACCTCTTATCCCATTTGACACTATTGTCTTATCAGCTATCTTTAGCTATTCTCCAAGGATTCTCCTATCTGCACTTCTCTTGACAAATTATGACATTTATTTATAGTATGAGAAAACATGCATTGGCCAGGGCTTGAACCTGGGACTCCAGCTTTCATGGTCTGGTGCTTTACCAACTAAGCTACCAAGGCGTACTTGGAAAGCATACTGATTGGTTACATGCCCAGAAGGTCCAGAATCACTGTATACGGGTGCGGATCCCATTGTGTTGTGATATCTCTTAGATCATACAACCACCCTTTGATCTATCTTTAGCCATTTCTCCTAGGATTCTCCTTATAGCTCATCATATGACTATAAGCCCTTATTGCCATTGGTACCTATTTATATCTTACCTCATGGACACCTCATGACCAACACCCGTCATCACTATTGGTCTATTGTGTTACCTCTTTCATACTTACCCGTTTCCTCTCAACTTATCTACAAGCCTCCCCTGAAGTAGACTAACAGTATATATACCGCATGTATGTAGCATAGTTCTGCATCATGAATCTACCTCATGATACCCAGTAATGCCTTACATGAGCTAGCTCCCATATTACCTTTAGAATCCCTGGCAGCTAGTGGAAGACCAACTTCTCTTCCTAAGAATGGTGCCATACACACTTATCATCAGCAGGAAAGCACCAAAGAACCCGATGTCGATGATGAGAACTGCTGTTAGAAAACCACACACAAAAACAAACTAACACACAATCCTCCCAGATTCCACGGAACTTGTTTATGGGCTTTGCCTCCTAGAATAGTGGGTGCTCTGGTTGTTCGTGGGGTGGTATGTATAAAGATCCTTCAAAGTAAAAACCCAGAGGTGTATGAGTGTGGGTTTTGAGGAGGAGGGATGGTTGAATTTATAGAAAGATAGGGAGTTTGTGGCGAGTATAGACAAGCACTACCTTGCTAATTGTAGCACAAGGTAGGTTTGAGAACAACAATATGACGAGGTGACGAGGTTTCCAGTGATAGCAGGCTCCTGATGCACAAACTGTAGTGTCCAAAAGGACTCTAATCGAAAGGGATAACAATGACTTCAAAAGTGGGAAGTGACGATGACAGCAATTAACAGTGGTAGCAGTGGGAAGTGTTGTGACCACACTGGATCACAAGTAGCAGAGAATAGTGAACTTGAGATTAGAGAAGAAGTCTGGATTGGAGTTCTTGTTCTTTTTACAAGGTAAAATACAGGGGTTTATATAGTAAAAGAAAAGTAGGCTATGCACAGTATAGCTGTGCAAAAAGAATGAGAAAGAACATGAAGGAAGGAATGTATGCTGACAAATCCTGTGTAGGTAGTACAGGATAAGATTGTCAAAATAAGGAAAAAAAAAGAGATAGAACAATAAATGCTGTGTAAGTAACATCACAGGTTTGTACAGCCATAAAATACAGTCCAAAAACAGAAAAAAAGCAAGAAAATCATAGTCAAGTCATGGGAAGATGCAGTAAAAAAAGGGCAAGGCAAAACACTATCAGTATCAACACAGTTCCTTTATTGTCAGTCAGGCATTCTAAAAAAATATGTGTCCATAAAAATGATTCAAAAATCAAAAATAATCGCACTGTAAATGAATGTTCTGCTGAAGAAAAAGAAACTGGAGCCACCGGTCCACCACCTAGTCCAAATCCAACAGTTCCATGACCTTACCAATGGACTGGTTGTGTTGGACCACCTGATCAAACGAGGGAGGGAGAGGAGTAGTTCCAATTTGGAACAAGTGAGTCCCAGGCAGCGTGTGGTAGGTGTAGCTGTAGCGAAGATGATGGACAAAAGATAAGTGTACCCAAGTGAATGGGACAGCGATGAACATGGGCGATGCAAGGGGATGAACCTTCTCCAGCTCAAAAACTACCCACCCACACTCCAACCAGGCAAGACGAGCGACCGATGTTTTGATAGTATATGATGGCAGATCGATGTCATGAAGATGGACCTGTTGCCCTATTTGGACCGGCCGCCGGGGCTTTGCTGATATCAGCAGTGGCACGTGGTAGTCAACGGATCGGCGACGGAAGCGGATAGGAAGTGGTGACATCAGAAATGGTGGGGGTGCAAATAAGATGAGGAGGAGGAGGGTGGAGGTGACGGAAAAGTGGATTAGAATGGGGATCCAGAAACGACCATCAGGTGAGAATAAAAAAGAGAGGAAGGGGCCCATGGTGGGGCTAGGCAAAGGAAGGGGAGTAAGGGAAACAACAAAAGCAAGGGCGCAATGCAATGTGTAGCCAGTGGCGACGCGAAAATTTGCCGAAATGCCGAAACGCGGAAAGTACCGGATGGAAAAGCAAAGGTGAGCGTGACTGGATTGCCTAATAGAGGTGGTGCTGATCAGCCACAAGTTCGGAAAAGGCAATATTAATTACTATTCCACGTGGCACTGTGCCTGTGTGGCGCAAAGGCAAGTCTTTTTGAATATTCGCTTCGTTATTGACAGCTGTCCATGCTACCAATCAGCTTTGGTGCATGACACCGATGCAGGCACGGGTCACACGGAGGTTTGTAACAGTTGTGTGATCAATTGTATTTGCGTGAATGAGTATATGTGCATGGGTGTGTGTTAGTTGGTTATTGTGATTGATGATTGTGGGTTGAATGTATGATGGAAAGTAGAGAGTATTGATTAGAACACAATGTAGGATGTATGTTATAATGAGAAAAGAAGAGATATGCCTATTTGATTTCCCTGGTGTAGGTGCTCATCAAGAGCTGTCTCTCAATGGATCCCAGTAGATTCCCGTTGATGTTGGCTATATTAAAGACTGACTCTGAATTGAGTTTCAGTTGGTTGTGCCGTTCTCTTCTGACTTGAGCTTGATATGCTAACAATGCTTCTTCTCCGTGCAGGGTGCAGCGCAGAGGGTGGTTCTCAATGTGGCTGAAGAACCAGATAAGAGAATCAAGGTGTCTGCATGGCCATGCCAATTTCTCAGCATGGTTGAGGGTTGAGGAATGCAGTGCGAGCTACTGAAAGTTGCGCCATGGTCAGGTTTTCATCTTGGATGACGTTCCGAGAGGCTCAAGTGGAAGATATGGGTCTGAGTGCGACTAAGTCACCCATTTTGGTAAAGCTGAAAGAGTTGGCATTTGATTGCATTGTTGTGGCAGCTTCAGTGCAGCCTGCAGGTGTGAAATACCAGAGTTCGATGTATTCTATGTCTTCTAGCTTTTGCAACGCGTAAGAAGATGGTTGGTCAAGGATGAAGGATAGAACCAAGCTGTTGTTGTCAAAGTCTTTGACCTTGGTTTTTAGTTTGTTGCTCTCCTGGTCAGGATTATTTGCTGGTTGAGGGTCAGGAAAAGCATCGCAAGGGTTGACAGGAATTTGTGCGGGATTGGCTGGATGAATGTTGTTGCAAGTTCTCCGTGTAGCAGTAAGGTTTTTGATGGCTTCTTCATTAGTTAGGCCAAGGATACGAATGAGACCATTTCTGATCTCCTCGTGTTCTTGTGATGTGGGTTTTGTTGAGGCTCGGGTTCAGGCATACAGTATATGGTAAATTATTATTGGTAGATGTGCGTAGTGGGATTTGTTAAGGATTGTTCTAACCAGAGTATGCGAGAAATATCAAAATAAAAGAAAGAAAGATAATTCTTGAATATTTTGTCTATTTTGTGGCCAGCATAAGTGTTGCACTAAAGAAAGAGAGGTCGTGTGACTCTCACGTCGGACCAAAGACAATATTCTGATGGCCCCTTCCGTGCCGTTTGGTTCCGTAGAATTCCAATTGATGTTGGATAGGTGGTTCGTGTGACACGTGCACGTGATTGTGAGCTGTGACGAATACGTGCGAACTTGGCCCAACTTCAAGTTGTTTCAAGCGTTTCATCCATGGAAATCGCGTCCGTTCAAGAAAAACTACCAGAATGCTCGCCAAATCTCATGCCATTCCACCTTTCGTATTCAGGTCTTGCTCCTATATCCACGTATTTCCGCGTCAAACCTCCGCCGTCCAAGTCTTTAATGGCGACTAGCACCAGCCTTACTGCAGAGACATCTCAAATGAGCATTTCATCATCTACTACAGTTGTAGAAAGTCAGAGCACTTCTGCTGATAACGCCTTGATACAAACCCAAAGCAGCGTAGGAACGCTTTTCGCACAAAATGACCACGTTATGCTTGAGCAGGGCTCCCTGTCAGTTGTTCAAGGCACTTCTGGTACCGAATCCACCCTGCCGAATACGCATTCGGGGGAACAGGGAGGGAGCAAGGAAGATTTGGGCCGTTTTGTGGCTAGCTTTAGGGGAAGACTGATGCAAGGGGTGAATGTAGACCTTCCCGAAGGATACGGCGGCCTTGTTCTACGCTCTCCCAATGCTGCTGCTGGGAACACCTCTGCGACAATCATACCCATAAAGACGAGAGGGACTAAACCACGGTCTAAATCGAGACCAGGGATTGGTGCTAGGGCAACTCGAAGGATCACTCGTAATGCGAAGGATGATATTGAACCTCAGGATGATAACGATATTGATGACAATGCAGACGAAATTAGAGGTGGGAAATACACGGATGAGGACAATACCATTACTCGCATCCTAAAGCCAACAGAAATGTTCTCTTCGTTTGTACTGTGGTCTCCAGATAATCCTGTTGACGCAGGAAAAGACGAGTATCTGCGATCCTTAACGGAATGGACCAGGTTGGCTGCTGAGGTATGTCTTTTTTATATATATATCTTCTGTTTTCTGACATGCACGCTCGTCGCTCGCACGTTAACAGATACACCGTTATGATGAATAAGGAGAAGTACCGTCGTATCCGTGATGTCAAGACTACCATCTCGACGCCCATGTTGACATTTCAGGCGCTTCCCGCCATTGCGTATCATTTATAGATGATTCTGACTTTAGGTGTACGTACCACCGGCCCCTTCGCACGATGTATTCCGTGCCCGAGCTCTTTCTCCAAAGCTTACGAGGATGTAGATACCAGTCTTGCCTCGACTGGAACTGTGAATTTATTGACACGAATATTTTGTATGAACGATGGTCGTTGACACAAGCAGAAAAACGTAAGTTTGAGAGCGAACCAAAAAATTGCGAATGGAAAGCGGCTGAAACACAGCCACGATCTAAAAATCAGGCAGGGACATCACAAGAGCAACCAGAACCAGTGTGCAGCGTGGAACCAATTCGAGCGCGGGCTGAGATTCCCTGCAGTCAGCTGAGTCTGAGACATCCCGCCTTTATATTTTCCCTCAACGTTGGGACCTCTGTATATTCCACTCTTTACTCCCTTCCTTTGCACTTCCCTTCCTTTCCTTCTGGGCTTAATCGGACAGCGTCCAAACGTAAGTGGAGCATCAATGATCGTGTTCACTTTTTTAAGAAATTAGTTATTTTAGATATACCAGAAATAACATGTTCGCTACCCTGCTTTTGACCGCTCTGGCCTCTGCTGCTATTCTCGTTCGCGCAGACCCCTCCCCCAGTACCCCCGCCCCAAATGACGTTTACATAGAGGGTCAACCATGCCAAATCGCTTGGGATGTAGATCCTACCGGTACCTGGAAAAATATGAGCATCGAATTGATGACTGGCGACAACTTTAACATGGTGTACTTGACTAGTTTGTTGTTTTAGCTTCAACTCTTTAACATCATGCTCATCCGATTTTTTCTTTTCAGCCGTGGCTACAGTCGATGGGACCGACCCAACGAAAACCACCTACTCGTACACTTGCCCTCAGGTCAGTCTCGATCAATACAATCACAGTTAACCTTTACCTCATGCTTATTTTTTTTTAGGTTACGCCCCACTCTCCAATTTACTTCTACCAGTTCTCGTCTCCTGCTTCTACTAATAATACCTGGACTGGCCGCTTCACTATCACCGACAAAGCGAGCGACGTCGTCTCTCCTTCCCAATCTACTCAGCCAGACGGTGAGGCTATTCCCTGGGGGACTGGCCAATTGGTTAACTATACGGCATCGGTCGCACCTCCTTCCGGTGCGACCAGCGCCGTGTCTGCAACTGGCACGGCTCTGGGCACTCCTTCTGACACCAACCCTGTGACCTCCACTCCCGTTGCATCAACCACCTCGAGTGGCACGCCTGCGGTTGTCGTCCTGACCTCTACGATGACGCCGACAAGCTCCTCTGTTGCTCCCCCCACGTCTTCCAATGCCGCTACCGGCGTGACATCTGCGAGGGTTCTGATTATCCAGACCTGCGCTATACTCGGTGTTTCTGCTCTTGGGTTCAGCCTACTGCTCTAGAGATAGGGTACGACAAGCGAGGACACGGCTTTAGAAAGGCGCAATACCCCCCATTCCCAGTTCATCGATTTTCTTATTATCTATTTTCCCCTCGATTTCCTCAGTTTCATGACACACGATTCTTCGCTGCGCAACCTTGCTCTTTCTTGTATCGCCGAACAGTCTGCATCAACTAACTTGTCTTGACGAGCGGTTACTTGCATGTGTATGCTATTTTTTCTGCATTTTCTGCTGCTAGCTTTACATCTTTCATACTATCGCGAACCGTCGTCTGGTTGCTTTTTAATGCTTTGGGTCCTCTTTAATGTTCTCGGTAACTTTCCATGTGCTGCGACGATCGCTTGATGTTTATGGATGCCGATTCGAGCATAGCTATTTTATATATTATTTAAGTAGCAGTACGTTTTGCTCGTTCACAAAAGGTCAAATATCTTCAACTTCTTCGTGGTTTCAGGTTTTCTGTTGGTGCTTTGGCAGCAATTCGTTTCTTTTGTGGTTGTAGAAGGTACAAAAATATTTATGCAAATATGAAATGTGCAATGTTAGATCGCGTGCCCAAATACTGGGGGCACGCAAGGCTCAAGATTCTCCAGGTAAAATTTTCGCAACCTCCATCAAGCTATCAAACCTTTTATCCTCTGCCCAGGCGATGGTTTGATCTGTTTTCAATGTCAAAGCTTCGTTGAGACCCCTCGTTGGTTTCCCTTCCTTCTCCAAGATGGCTATTTCTTGGTCTACGGCATCAAGCCAAGCTTTCGCCACTTCGGTCTGAGACGAAGTCATGGTTGGAACACGCAGGGCCCAGAATGGCCGATCGGTTGCGTGAGTCACATACCCTTTAAAATGGATCGAAGAAACATAAGCAAAAGCGAATACCCATGAAAATGATAGCACCTACCTTTTGGGCGGATTTGCTCTGGGGTCCATTGAATCTCATAACGGAACACAGGGAACCCAACTTTCTGGAAATCTCTCACAAACATCCTCACAGGCAAGTGCACCTGTCCGTCACTCAACATCTCCCCAATCAACCTCTCCGATTCATCCGCGCTCGCTGAAGCAGGAAGGGTCCTGTACTTCTTCACGAGCTTCTCGACGATAGGTGTGGGGTAATATCTAAGGACGTTCGGAAATATGTCTTGCGGACCGTGAATGGGATGTGCGATGGCGTAGAGATACCATTCTTCGGTGAGGTCGCCTATAGCAATGGATTTGACACCCTTTTCGCGGAGGCGAAGAGCAAGTTCACCAGTTCTCTGCCATGTCATGGGGTCGGGAGTGGTAGCGAGCCACTCGCCGTCAAGGCACCCACGGAAGGTACCGTTCTCGACGCCTACCGCATCTGTTTCAATAACATGAACCAAAGCGGACGCTGGGACTTTGGAGGGGTCTCGGAGAGTTGTGAGGATGTCGGGTGATGTAGGATCTAGGTCGAGGGCGCGACAAAGAGCATAGAACTGGGGGCGCAGTTCTGTAAGTGCCTTCGGATTAGTTCTGCCAATAAGGGGAAATCGTGGGTTAGAAGAAGCTACCAAGGGACAAAAACAAGTCACATACAACAACGCATTTGATTGTAATTGCGCAGAGCGGAATGGCGCATTTTGTCCTGGAGGTAGACGCGATGCATGATGAAGAATTTGATGAACAGAATGAGCACCTAAAACATGGAACAGTCAGTCAGAATATCCACTGTAAAAGGAATGGTGACTTCACATACCAGCAGAGAGGCCCGAAACTTGTACATTCTCGGGATCACCTTTATGAAGTAAATTTATGAACAACACGAATCTTGACAATGATAAATCATTATGAAAATTTTCTATTCCCTTACCTCCAAAAGAAGCAATATGCTCCTGCACCCACTGCAACGCAAGCCACTGGTCCTTGAACCCGAAGTTACCATCGACCTTGGGCTCATCGCATGCAAGGAAGCCGAAGACGGAAAGGCGATAACCAATGTTGACCCAGACCTCGTTGCGAGCAGCAGACACATATTGTGCTTGGTTGCTTAGTCCGTGGGGGGAACCAAATTGAAGAAATCTACCGAGGTAATATGAATTATGTTCCCGGGAATGGTACAACAGACTTAGGTGAACAAACATACCCTCCATGGATATAAACCTTTACTGGAAGTTTCGCACCTGGAGTGAAAGAAGGGGGAGAGACAATATTCACAAATAAGCTAGAATGCGAAAGATAGAAAGGACGTGGTATTTTCTTAGTCGTTAGACTTTAGCGAAAAATTTTGCCCTTACGGATTTTCTGACGGGTCTCCCAGACCAACTCTGTCAATGTAAAGTGTGCCTTTCATAAAATAATAGTAAGAACGAATTTTTACCACACATCATCACCCATTGGAATCGTACCTGCAGCTTGGCCGTCGTTGTGTGGTTGCACCGCGTCTATGAGAGACGTTAGATTGTAAGGTTGTCTGTGTAAATAAACGAGACGAACGTTTAGATTCCTTGATGTACTTTATATTCTCATATTGATAATCCGGTGGAAGCGGTTTTGGGTCTTCGAAACGAATAGGAGGTAAAGCATAGGGTACCTCTGCAAATAATTTGACATAGTTTCCGGTTTACATAAGAGGGCAAGATGTAAGCTCATAATCGAATTGCGGTTTGATCGTTATCACCAACTCACCAAGGAATACCGCAGCCCCATTGGCCGCTCGTCCCCCTTGGATGGATCCAAACTTGGTCTCTACCACAACACTAGCACCCTGTTGCAATTCCTCTCCAAGATGTACGCTAGCCATGTCGATTTGAAAGCAACCAGAGCAAACTACATCCTGTAGCCGCACGGTGCTTATATGGTGTTGCAAAATCTCAAGTCACTTGAGCCATTCGAAATCATATGCGTCATGTGAGCACATGTGAGCACGCGTGTGAACTCCCCTGCAGCCCAGTTTACGATAAAGAACGAAGTGGCATAAGCAAGGAACAAGATACTATAAGTACACAAACGGGCAGCCGACGGATATCTCTCGAGAACCTATAGTTAGTGATGCTTCAGGCTTCATTTCTTTGTTATAGCCGACTTTTCACTTTCAATTGCGGGAACCCTTTGGGCATCTTTGCCCCAGGGACGGGCTCCTTTTTAGCTCTGAACTCAGAGGCCATTTCGTGTAAAGTAGCCCAGTGAACATTGTCGTGTGTGTTAACCCACTGAATGAATCGTTCCTGTGTGCATGCTCGTCAGACCATCAGATTACAGAAGCTAGAACTCGGCGCACCAGCATCAGGAGAACATGAGGACGGCTACACAAAAGTTCATTATGTGCGACCTTATGTTTATAGATCAAGGAAACAAACGTACCCACTAACATCTGGATGAATGGTAATAGGGAAGATAAAATCACCTTCTTCTCTAGTGGGGTGTTTCAATATATCAATACATAAACAGGTCCGGGATCTCGCACCTATAACAGTACGTGAACATATCTTTCCACAGCTGTTCGACGTCCCTGGAGTTTACCTAGCAATCAACGCTTGAAATGGAACATCTATTACTAAAATCTAATACAATACTGACCCATCCATGGGAATTTGAACTGGACTTGATGAACCTGTCAATGACGTGAGTTACACAAGCACGCACATGTCCACAAGCTAACATGCTCACATCATAGGGGGGAGATCATCCAAGTACCTAGGAACACGCTAATTTAGGTTCACATGTAAGTGAGAGCGATATAACTTGCGAACCAATTTGCGGGTATCTCGACAAGCCCTGTTTCATTTCCCTTTTGCAACGGCTTCATCCATGTGTGAGCTTTGGCACTGTAATCGATCTTTGTCCAAGTATCTTGATCACGAAGATAAAATGCTTGACAGCTATCGAACATCTAGTAAAATGCAAAGACCAAAAATTAGTGACAAACGCACTCGTGTGCCATACTTGAGTGATCTTTTGGGGAAGAAGTCAGTAAGTGCGCCTTAGCTTACACAACACAGTGTAGCCTTGAATCACCATATTCGATTCCTTTCTCCAACAGGAGATTGGTCCCTTCTTTACTTGTCTCCCACCATGGAGCAACGCTACCTTTGGGTGGAACGCCATGATTGAAATCGGTGAGCAACTTGTATGTGTGATCCAAGATGTCCCTTTGTTGTTCTACGGTCATTGAGACGGGGTTCTGCATGCACTTGTCAGCTAATAACCTCAACAGAGCAGAGTAATCAAACCTCGTGGGAGTAGCCATGGAGTCCTCTGAAACGAATATCTGAACAAAACTTCAATCGAGAAATTAAACATTTTTGCGCTCACATTTCGTGACCTGCATCGCGAACAGCAGCCATCTGTTCAGGGAATGTTTCCAAACTGTGACCTAAGCAATATTAGATGCCATTCAAGCTGAAATTTACAACCCTTACCAGGAATGAACCAAGTAGTTTTGATAGAATATTTGTCGAGAAGCTTCAACAATCGCGGCACTCCGACTTCTCCAGCATACATGCCCTGAGAGACAATGCTTGGTGGTGACATGACTGTGGTACATTGCAACCATACTCACCCTGGATATGTCCAAAGGAGAGTCCTCTCCGCCATAGGAGCCAAGCCTGGAAGACAATATTCAGTCTAGCCCTAATCTCGATACGCGGTACCTACCATCCTGCCACTGCGTCCACGTCAATACCAAAACCAATGAGCACTCGTCTGGGCATGTCTACCTGTCTATCCTCAAGGTGATCCTTACAGGGTTGGTGAGAATAGGTATTATGGCGGTGAATGGCGTCTCGATAAAGCAGAATTGGGAAAGCACGAACAAAGAGGATGTGGTGATATTGTTAGAAATTATATGTGATAAGGGGTAGCAGCTGACCGATGTCTGGAGACATCATCCCATGTCAAGGGTCAAAAGACTAAGACATATACCAAGAACTCGACCATAAAGCATGGGAGAAACATCTGAGGAACCTGAGAAGACAAGCTATATCTGTAGAACATCGTGCTGTCCAAGAAAAGAAAATACATTGTAGAGATAACCAAGGAAGGACCTCCCAGAATTCATCATCAAAGAAGTCTGAGGTGGTTTACAAGTACTAGTAATTCATGTTTCCCACGAACCCATGTAATCAATCGTATTGCTACTTGCTAGATAGTGGCGCTGCCTACTAGACCCAAACCGTCACAGTGATTTGACTGCCAGCAGAACTCAATAGCGCAATAGCTGCCTTTCTGCTCACCTGATTTATCAACATTTCCATATGCTGCCCCTAGCGTTTAGGATGCCTGTGGTGCACCCGGACCGTCCTCACTGGCTTGTCAATGGGTAGAGATAAGGATTTGGTTCACAGGGAGCATCATGCTACGCATTTTCCCACTAGCAACATATTTCTAGCGTCATGGCGCTGGTCCTTATCTCCAGTTGCATGCATGTCCCTGAGGAGTCAGTTTGACGTAATGGTGTTGGTAAGGACAACACATCTCTTCTGGCCGCTTTCACTTCTCTTGCGCGCTCTCTTTCCTGAAGATGCCGAAAGTCGAAAAGTCGGACACTAGCATCGATGTTGTCACGGTGCAGGAAGACGCTTCTGCTTTACGAGCTGCAGACAATGCGTTACTTGCTGAGCTTGGTTACAAGAGTGAATTCAAAAGAGAATTCTCGGTCAGTTATCCAACTATCTTATCTAGATGTCCCAGTACTTACTGTATCTTTCGCTGTATAGATGATCGAGACTGTAGCATTCGCATTTTCCATCATGGGTGTTGTTGCCTCCGTGTCATCTACATTCTCTTTCCCCTTGGTATCAGGTATGGCTAGTTGGATTACCATTTGCCACGTTACTAAGGGCCACTGAATACAACAGGTGGTCATGTCGGTATGGTGTGGGGTTGGTTCATTCCATGCTTCTTCGTCATGGCTGTAGCTACGTCTATGGCGGAACTAGTGTCATCTATGCCGTAAAGTACCCCATAACGTCTATTTCACGAAATGTACTGATTTCCTTGTTCTTACAGGACAAGTGCAGGTTTATATTACTTTTCAGCTAAACTAGCACCACCCAAGTATTCGGCTTTGGCGAGTTGGATTACCGGATGGGCTAATATCACTGGTCAAGTAACTCTTGTCTGTTCCATTGATTTCACTTGGCAAGTTGATCATTAAACATTCATTCGAGGATCGAGCTAAATTATCGTCGTTCAGTGCACAAATGATCACTACTGCAATAGCAGTGGGGTCCAATGGGGCTGTTGTTTTGAGTGCAGGCGCGACATACGGCATTCTACTCGCCATATTATTCTGTCATGGCATCGTATGCTCTGCTGCGACCCATATTTTGGCGCGTCTTAATTTATTCTATGTCGTAATCAACGGTAAATTTATTGTCTACTTTTCATGTTGGTTACCTATCTCACCCCCTACTGTCCAGTGGGTACTAGTATCTCGGCGATAATAGCTCTCCTCGTATGTTCAGGTGACAACAAAGTGTCCACGAAAGATGCGTTCACTCTATATGAGAATAATACTGGATGGATGAATAGTATGTCGCCTCCATGATACCAAGTTGTTGATACTTATCAACGTGCTCCTAGGCGGTTGGGCCTTTCTACTGGCATTTACGTCCCCTATGTGGACCCTCACTGGCTGTATGTGGTACAGTCGTTTCATTTGTTGATGACCTATTGATCGCATGCATTTTATCTAGATGATTCCGCTGCCCACATCTCAGAAGAAGTCGCTGGAGCACAACGTACGGCGCCAATCGCGATTCTTGTCGGTGTTGCAGGTACCCAAATTCTCGGCTGGCTTCTGTTCATAGCAGCTTCATTTGCCACCAATTCTGTCTCGGACCTTCTCACCACCGATTTGCCTCTACCTATGGGTCAGCTTTTCTTCGACGTCCTCGGTAAGAGGGGTATGTTGGCGATATGGAGCTTCATAATTGTTGTGCAAGTAGGTCGATAGCCCCTACATGTGGTTAATGTGACTGAGTATGTTGGTGCGAGTAGTTTGTAACAGGCGCTGCTCAGGGCGTTGATGCCTCTCGCGTAGTCTTCGCTTTCGCAAGGGATAACGCATTGCCTGGTTCTCGTTGGTGGAAGCAGATGAATAGGTATACACAGACACCTGTCAATGCAGTATGGTTCGTCATACTTGGGTCCGCAATATGCGGTCTTCTCGGATTCTCGGCCGCTGCATTGTCGTCGCTTGCTGGGTACGTGTGAAGGCTTTCTCCCTATAATCGTCCTGATCTAGAGTTACCACTCTTACTCCGACATTTCCTTTACAGTGCATCTGTTATTGGTTTATATACGTCCTATGCAGCTCCAATTTTTCTCCGTATCACATCGGGGCGAGATAAGCTGGTACCGGGAACTTTCTCACTTGGGAAGTGGTATATGCCAGTTGGTGTTGTGGCTGTCTCATGGGTCGCGTTCATCATCGTCTTGCTCTTGTTCCCTCCGTCACAAGTGGTCACTTCGCCCGATATGAGTACGTTACGATTATGTTAGGCCTTTTATCGCTGCTTATCTGTGTCAATGTGTTTCAGATTACGCAGTGGTGATAATCATGGGTGTGTTCATGTTTGCTTCCATTTCCTGGGTCGTATCAGCCCGTCATTGGTTCCACGGACCTATATCCAATATCAACGACAAGTCGTCGTTAGACGAGAAGGAGATGTAGGCATCTTCTATTCTTCAACATAGTTAGATCAACAAGTTTCATAATGTATTTATTGTATATTTTGCTTATCGATTCCGCGCCGTTGATGTCCACCTGACCGTGCAACGCGTTGGTAGTGTAATGGAAGTGTTATACTGCCGTCAGACATGGGGCTGGTTCATGACCTTCATGATATGATATGAGCGGGGTTTGATAAGTCTTCAAAAGCGAGCCTTCTGGAGTATTCGAGCTGTTCGGGATGACCCACAAACGACAAGTTGTATGTAATGAAAGATGCAGCCCATCAAGGTTAAGGTGTCAAGAGGCTCCACTCTCACCTTGAAAGAACTTATGTTAAAGAACAAATGTCCAGACGGACCTATTTTCTCAAGATCAATCAAATTATACTCGCCACAGACTAGTGCTAGTTGAGCTGGTGACTGCGTAAGAACACTTCGAGCGGAGCCAGCCTCATCATTCTGCCGTACTGGCGAATCAGGTGTCTTTTTGGTTCAATAGTTTTCTAGGCGTCTTCTGAACCTTGACAAAGGAGAATATCAAAATACACATGCACCGTCATTCTAGACAACCCCGGATAGTGTTTACATACCGTAAGATAAGATTCGAGCCAACCCAGGGCGGTGGTGCTCTTCGGGCGCCCAAAGTCACATTGTATCTTGGATAGCCTCTGGGACGTCGTGTCAAGTGCTAAAAAGTCTGGATTCTCTTCAGGACAATAAGTAAAGAAACATACCGTCCTAAGCGATCCAATGATCATTGAATTAAGAGGTCCGAAAATTTCACCTTCGGATGGCGGCTAAACAAAATCTAGGAATTTAGGTTAACCCAAAGGAGGACCAAGGTTTATTAGCATAATCCACGCTAGACTGCCTCTTCCGTTGAGGAACCCAATATGAAAGCGGCTTCGTGGATCGATAGTCTATTTTCCACAGCATGCCAGATCCACGAAGTAATAGTGACAACGTCTCTCCTATAGAGAAGGCAGTAATGCAGCGCTCCTCAGAATGGCGCCATTTTCTTTGGAGATTATTGAGGTTCTACAACACCATCAGTTACGACATAGAAAATCGTGTATAGGTCGCACGAAAGACTAAGTAAACCCACACGTGTGAGGGGTGTGTATCACGCATGCTACACTGAAAAGAACGTGTCAAGCGTGATTGCGGGAATAGACCAGAATATGTAGCGGACCTTGCGTCGGGCCGTGATAGCACATGATAGCGGTAGCGTTTCTGTTAGCGTTTTCGTCTTCAACTGAGTAACGTCAACTTCTGTACCTAATTTCAGTACCGTTTGGGGAGCTGAAGGTACTTTTGCGTACACTACTATCACAAAGAAAGTGACATACCTTGTGTAAGTCCACACTAGGTGTACAAACACGTTTGAGACCTCGTGAACAGTGTCTGCCATAAGTAAAGCCCTCGGGATACTCCACCTTTCGGATAACTACGGCACATGTGAGATTTTATGCGCCTTTTCAAGACAACTCTTGCATTTCAATCCAGATGATGATGGATGATGGCAGCCTGGAAATTTCGGATATATGATACGTAAGTTGTGTACGGAACGGAAGACTGGTACAGACTTCATCGTTATCGGAATGTTCGGAAGATAGAAGGGGTGAAGCTTATGAGACTCGGGTTGCCCATGTGTGATTCTTGATTGAAGAATCTCGTGGAACGTGATGGGCCTCGAGGCAGGCTGGAAGAGAATGGAGCCACCATTACTCACCAACCTGAGCACACCAACCTCAGATATTTCACTTTCCTTAGGCGATGTTGATGGCATTTATGCTTGCGCGCGTATACCGGCCGCCATTGGCAAAATTATTGCGCGGAATTGGCTTCGATATAATCTGGGTATTGAATTCCACATAGTGGGCTGGGACCAGATGCATGTAGTAGTAGAGATTCAAGTGCCAAACTTCGCTTTTTCTGAGGCCTTCCGAACTACCTTGAGAAGCACATTGTTACGTAATTCACAAACGCACTAGTTTCTAATTTTGGAAGACAGGTAATATTGCAGATCTGAGTGAGGAAACAATATTTGCATAGGCATCGGTAAAGAACTTTGATGTAACAATAAATCGGACAAGCTATCTTTTCCATATGGTACTGAGATTACATGTTTCTCAGTTTTCCTTTACTTTACCTAAAGGAGTCTTAGCCATTACGCTGAGTACTTCAAAAAGCACCTTTGCAATGTAGGAAAATGTGGGTCAATTGAAAGATTAGCGTGATAGTATTTTAGATGCACTTACGTCCGCGGCCGCCATGGTGGTCAATTCGGCGTTTGTATCGTATGCTGGAGCAACCTCGACAATATCAGCAGAGACAATGTGGAGGCCATCTAAGCCTCTTAAGATGGTGCGAAGCTCGCGGGTTGACCAGCCTGATCACAGGCAGATCTGTTAATGATTGACACGAGAATAAAGGTACGTTAAATCCAACCTCCAGTTTCCGGGGTTCCAGTAGCTGGCGCAAACGCGGGATCAATTGAATCAATCTGGCCAAAAAAAATGTGGTCAGCCAAGACGTAAAACAGTGTTATCCCCAAGCTGACATCAATTGAAAGATATACTGGTCTAGTTCCGACAGTTTCGCGGATCTTCTTGATAATTCCATCCGTTCCTGATAAGAGTATATCAGTGGATCATGCGACGTACACGGCGACACTAGGACAAGGGTATCATATACCAATTGTGTCAATTTCTCGTGCTTCAATTCTCTGGAAACCAGATTCATCGTCATTGGTGTAGTCAGCCGGACCAGAAAGCGTTGTCCTGATGGCGCCGTGCTGTTATAGAAGGACAAACTAGGATCAAAGCTTTCAACGGCACACAATATGAAATGGGGGGTGGATGATTTAGAAAACAGATACTTGCAATGGAACTTCCGTTTCGGATCAATCCCTCCTGGCTTGCCCAGTAAAAGTAAGTGCCGTGATTAATCGCCGCTTGCTCGGATGGAGCACCTCCAAAAACGGATGGCTTCCAAGTATCAAGGTGCGAATCGAAGTGAATCACGGATATGGCTCCATATGCTGAATATATAGACCTCAGGAGGGGGAGAACAATCGTATGATCACCGCCGAGAGTAATGATACGGGGATGATTTTTCCCGTCCAAGGATATAGGCAAAAGCGGCTGGCCCGTCAAAGAGTCATTCCCAAGAGGAGAAAATGCGGGGCGGTGAAGAAGTTGCTTGTGCCCATTTTCAATTTGTTTGATAGCATATTTGTTGTCATAAGGCGTGACGGGGATGTCGCCGCAATCCACGACCTTTAATCCAGAAAGGAAAGGGTTGACCTGGAGGGGAACATTGTAGCCGCCATAGAGCGTCAAGCGGCGAGAGCCAGCACGAATGCCAGCAGGGCCAAACCGAGCACCGGGACGATATGAAGTTCCAGTATCCTAGCAAAGCGCTGTTAGAATACATGTTTAGCTGGGAGTGTCGAATCTACTGTACGAAAGGCGCTCCGAGAAATGCCACATCGAAAAGATCATCCTTATCTTTGGTTAGACATTGCACCCAAGGGAGTCTGGCGAAGGTAGTAATTCCGGAGAAGATTGAGTCAGCAGTTACTGAAATGGTGTAGTGAGTACGAATGCCAAATTAGGGATCCACGATGCAACACTGTACCATCATCGTCACCTGGATAAATAGCTTGGTAAGGGAACTTCACATAGTCCAATGGCATTTGATCCTCGTGGTGGTCATGGGCCGCAATAGGCACCAGAAAAGCAGATAAAATCAAGAAAGCAGTTGAATGTTTCATATTGAAAGTATAATTGAACAGAGGGGAATGGGGAGGTTGGTGTTTCGATAGCAAAATGTTGAATGGCTAAAAAGGATTTCTCGCGGGAAAAATCATATCCCATGATCAGCGTTTTTATCTCGTCACTACCGTACAAGGAGCGCTTTCCTCGTATCTTGATTTATTTTGCCTCGAGGCGATTTGAACCTATAAGGTTCAGGTTCTGCTCCCTTCTTATCAAGAATCAGTACGAAAGAATGGAAAGAAATGGGTTACAAAAATATCTCCACCGCAAATTCATCAAATCCGATGAACACGATGCATCAAGAAAGCCTCGTTCATGTGAACAGTACCTACTGTGTGGAGAGAGAAATTCCATAAGCTGATCGCCCCACCGGCAGAAGTGATTGTAAAGAACCGAAATTCGACATACCATCTGGATTTCAATTAAAAGCGAGGATGCATCAGCTTGTGGATTCGTATTTTCCTTGCCTGTGTCGAAATGTCGTTCTCCTTTGATGAGACTGCTCCCCTTTTGTCAGATGCAATGCTTAGACCCATCGAAGAAAATGATTCTTTGACCTCAATTCCAGACATACCGCAAGTGGAAGTAGAGTCACAGCCACCCGGCTGGCGACTTCTTGCTTCTTTGGCCGTGGACTCGATCCCTGGTGAGGACATTTGTTTTACAATATTCACTACTCGTCCCGCTTTACTGAGAATATTGTAGTCGTTCTTTCTTATGTCCTACAGAATTCTATACAAACCGTTTCCATATGGGTTGCGGGACGACTTGGTCCAGAAGAGCTGTCCGCTGCAGCATTTTCAGTAATGGTGGCTTTCGTTTCTGGCTAGTACTCGGTATTCCTTTGTTCTCCCAGTACTATGATCCCACATCTCGTTCTCCTTCACAGGATGGTGTGTAGCTCTCGGCGGTGGATCTGCTCTTGATACTTTGGGATCGCAAGCATTCACCGGTGGAAGCCATCCGACAGACCTTTCCGTGCATCTCCAGCGATGCATAGTCATTCTATGGTGCCTTCTCATCCCGGTTTTCGTTCTCTGGACCTTTATGGAGCCTTTGCTGTTGGCGATTGGAGAACCAGAAGCCCTTTGCAGGGATGTGCAGAGATTTTTGCGCGTCCTTATTATTGGTGCGCCTGGTTACATCGCTTTCGAGTCGCTGAAGAAGTATCTACAGTGTCAAGGTATGGTTCTATCTAGGTTCCCGCTTTAAGTGCCCTCATATTTTGCGTATAGGCATTATGAGAACATCTACTATTGTTCTCATCATTATGGCTCCCATCAATCTAATCATGAATATAGTACTGGTTCATCATACCAGTCTTGGTTTACTTGGATCTCCTGTGGCGCTATCTTTCACCTACTGGTCATGTTTCTTTCTCTTGGTTATATTCACATCTCTATCTCCGACGCATAAGAGTCACGGAACGTGGGGTGGTCTGCAACCCAAAGCCGTGTTAGACCTTGGCAGTTGTTACACGTTCTTGAAATTGGCTTTACCTGGGATATTCATGGTAGGAACAGAATGGTGAGTTCCTTTTTTTATCCTCCAAAAAATAAAACCCTTCAACAGTAAATCTCCAAGGGCTGCCTTCGAAATAGTTGCGCTTGCAGCTGGGCGTTTGGGAAAGCTTTCGCTGGCTGCACAGTCGGTGATAATGACGACAGACCAAAGTAAAAATATTCACAAGTGACTTCCTATGTGCTTTCGCTAAAATAATGCCTCAGTAATAAGCACCCTTCCATTTGGCATAGGTATTTTTAGCATTGATATGTTTACTGTTGAGCATCTTCACGAGCGAGGTCTACTCAGGTGTTGTTGCTTCAAATCGCATTGGAAATCTTCTTGGTGCTCGCACGGCCACTGGTGCTCGACGTGCAGCACATGCGGTTGCCTTACTAGCTGTCCTCGTTGGTCTTGTCATCATGATAGCTATGTTAGCTGCCAAAGACGTGCGTACCGGCCATCTTCCGTTCAGTTCGTGTCTCATCCACTCTTTCAGATATTTGGTTACATTTTTAGTGACGATCAGGACGTCGTAAATCTTGTCAGCAAGGTAATGCCATTCGTGGCATCATTCCAAGTATGCAGGCAAATCACTTTAGCACGTACAATATATTTAATTATTGTGTTTTAGATTGCAGATGGATTAGCAAACTCATGCGGAGGCGTTCTCCGAGGGCAAGGTAACGTCAATACTTAATATTGCACAATATTGCACTAGTGACTTTCGACTTACTTCTCTGTATAGGTCGCCAGCATCTCGGAGCTTTCTTCAATATCCTTGCATACTATGTTTTGGCCCTTCCCATAGGCATAACTTTAGCTTTTCGCACACGCCTCGGACTCCAAGGATTATGGATAGGTAAGGTCATGTGAACGTTAAGCGAGGCATTTCTTTTGACACGTTGTATTAGGTCAAGTGATTGGTCTATTCACTGTCGGTATATGTGAGTACGCGGTTGTATGGTTGGGGACCGACTGGGACAGGGAGATCCAAAAAGGTATTGAAAGGAATGCGGAAGAAGCGAAGAGGCGTGATAATCGCTCTCAGCAACACCTAGGGCTTCCAACCGATCAGAATTATAGACCAGACTGATCAAATAAACAAACCTACTGTATAGTAGTAGTAAGTACTTTCTCAAGATCAAGACTAGCTCATTTTCCTCGCGTAGAAGATATATAGTATGTATTTCGGTGATGCAGATATGCAGTAGTTCATAAGTATTTTGCTATGCCAGACGCCAGCTTTTCTACTTCGTGTGCAATCGTCTCTTGTTTCTAGGTGGCATCAACGAAAGAAAAGACGAGTACAAGAGGGAAATTTCTTGGATTCGCCTATATGGTGAACAATTTCGTGGTGCCGAAGCTTTCCACCAGGCATTTATCTACCTGGCTTAGCTGATGAGTCAATCTCGTCTCGTCTCTTATTGGTGCCTTAACTAGAAGTCATCTAACGCTGAACATGAGCACTACGTTCAATTTCGGAGGGTACAACAAATTAGATAACGAATAACGAATAAGGCGAGAAAATCCACACTAGCTAGTCTACAAATAACAAAACCATCCATGGTCCCCTTCCCTATCAACACAATTATAGTGGCGGGTCGATCGCACAAAGAGAGTTATGGGAGTTGATGAGGTCCGGCTGTTCCACAGCTCTGCTCTAGCTCTTCTTCTTCTCTCTGTAATCGGGAGGTGGCAGCACGTAAAATCCTGCGCCTTCGTTCCTCGACACCATCGTGCATGTGGCTCCCCGATAAGGCCTGAGTGTCACCACCCAAAACATAGGCACGTGCCTCTGCTTCCAACCTTGATGATGGTTCATACAGGTCTCCGTCGCCTAGGAGAGAATAGGTGCCTTCAGCGACAGACGTTTCGAACTCCACAACTTCCCGATTCAATTTGGAGTTGAGTTCCTTGAACTATGCCCATAAAATGATGAGATGCAGCATTCAATTAACTCGTAGATAGAGTACTTTACATTGTCATCGTGATCTGACCAAACGTTGTGCGTTAGTTCGTGACAAAGTACGCGCCTGATAGTTCGATAGTCTCGAAAGCCATCATAATCATTAGTACGCAGCCGGAGTTTGATTTCCTGGCCACCATTCACATTCAACCCCAATAGCCCAGGATGCTCATGCGGTGCAAGCTCCGTAAGCAATCCGACAGAAAATTCGTGCTTATGCATTACATGACGAATTCCTTGGTCATTCGATAATCGAGTGAGCAATGATAATGCGGTCTCTGGCTTGGGCAAATGGGGAAGGGGTTCCAAGCGGTGGAAAATGTACTTGGTGGATATACTACTGGAAAAGCCGGTTGATCGCACCTGGGGTCTGACAATAAGCTAAAGTCCCAGCTGAGAGAAGCAACTTGGACGCACTTTGACTTGGGGCTTCAGAGCTCTCTCACGGAGGATACGATCCTTCCTGTGGTGTTCGTCCTCTAGCGCTTTAAGGCCGCCAATCTCATCTAAAGTGGACCCCAGCATTTGCACTTTAATGCCATCTCTGAGCCCTACTTCGGCAAGCGATGCGTTTTCTTGATGTTGAACTTTCTTTCCTTTATACAACAACTTCTGTAACGATGGTGGTACCGATGTCAACTGTTCCAAGTGGTCTTGCAAGGATGATAAAGATGACTCTGGAGAAAGTGAGAGCGTATGAGAAGTGCCGCGAAAGGTAACACGAATAGATATGTCGGAAGTCATGATGATTGTTGGAGACTGATATGACAATGAAAAGAATAACGCAAAGAGAAAACAGAGTTCAAGTTACATCGCAGACTGGTATAGCATAATAGCACCTTCTAGTTGCCTGCATGAGAAGTGCCGATTTCTAAGCACTACGTCGGTATCTTCCGGGTACCGAACGGTTTTCCATGGTAGCCAGCAAATATTCACCCGTTCAGAATCTAACCCACTGACACCCTTAAATCCACGATATACGAATCAGACGCAAATGATATATACATACGCATAGATACAAATACTCGAAGTATATGAATATTGGTTCCAGCCCTCATTATATGTTATCTGCATCCTCAGAGTCAGTGGCGCGTCGGCTTTTGGTATAGAAAGTTCAAGCATACCCCATCGAGGGGGGGGGCAAGTAGATAGTACTCACATTACATCCATCGGTCCTGGTCCCTCGAGCTCGGCATCGACATCTGTTTCCATCTCTTTCAGCGCACGCCTTGGTGAGTGTCAGATGAGTGACTTAGACTACCACCGAGGGAGAAATGAGCCTTACCTATACGCTTCTCGACATTCTTGCCGTATGCTAGAATTCTTCCAGCGTTGCTTTCGGGAAGACGGCGCTAGTAGCTCCATATCCAAGGCTGTAAAATTTAAGCAAGCGTAAGTATAACAGACATGACAATATATATCAGTGCAATATTCACCTGCATCCTCCTTCAGAAGTAACAGTCTGCTGACATCAAGCCACTGCCTATAATTTAGGTCGTAACGAATATAAAAATCCAAACAAGAATGCAGCTCACCATGAAGAAGTTCTGTCGAAAAATCGAACCAGATGTAAAGAAGAGTCGTCAGCTTTGCGAGCGGACTTCCGCTCCTTAAGGACATTTCTGGGTATGTGGATGTCGTCTGGTTCAAATATTACAGCAGGCCACCATGGATATGTATCTGATATAGTTCCCGCCATTAGCAGTCATGTAACAATATGCCAAACGGATGTACTTGCCTGCTTTGGCCCAAACTATAAAAGATGGGAAATGATTATAGGATGCTGAACAATATTGAGCACAGACTTACCGAGTGTACCACCTTCTAACATATTTCCCTCCTTAAGATTTATCGCAGCTGGTGTGGATTCAGGTTGTGATGGCTGATTACCTGCATGGTGTATTACTTCCTCTGCTCCGTTTTCTTGTCTCGTTTCCTCCTCCTCCTCTTCCTCCTCCTCCTCTTCCTCCTCTTCCCCTTCCCCCTCTTCCCCCTCCTCCTCCTCCTCCTCCTCTCTACGAGCCTCTGCTGCCGAATAGAGAGCTGACGATATTGGATTTTCTTCATCAGAATCTAGATCACTCAAGGAGCTCAGATCCGATTCATTCTCAATAACATCTCTATCACTCGATGGGAGCAATTTTCGAGACTTTGTAGACCTTGATGGGGTTAGAGCACTAGCAACTTGTCGAGATTTTTCAGCTTTGCGACGCATATTCTTTTGTCTGCGAGTGGCTGGTGAGTCTAGCTCCTCGATGATAATCGTCCCATCTGGAGCAATAATAGCACCAGGAGGTAGAGTTGGCCCAACAACTGGCGCTGGATCAGTGACTTGCATACTATCCTCTAGTTTATCTGCTATGATGTCCACTTCAACTTCTCCCTCCTCCACGTGAGGCACAGGTTGATTTGAAGTATCTGGAAGGCTTTCAGGTAACGACGAGGATGCTTGTAACATTTGCTTTTCTGACATAGGAGTACTGAAATTGGAAAGACGAGAAGTCTCACCGCCTGCGGTTTGGGAACGTCATTAGTATGCAACAGTGTGAAAATGAGAATACACTGACCTGTCCGTATGCGCTTCTTCGGGGGTGGGAGTGTAGACCTATCCACAGGCACTCTTCCACCACGTTTTTGATCTGGCGGTAAAATCCAACCTGCATCGAACATCTTGAACGAACGTTGATTATCCACATTATCAACCATAGGTGGCACGTCACTTTGCCCAGGGAGAATAAATGGCACGCGGCGTGACTTGAGGCCCTTCTGTTTTGTGCCATCCATTTGTCGGTCATCAGTGTCAGGGTTAACTCCGCCATGAGCTTCTGCCTCGAACGCAGCAGCAGCAGCCAATGCCCGTCTTGTCCTCGGGGCGCGGAACCCAGGAGACGAATCAAGAGCTCTACCTCTCGCACTTGATACTGCTTTGCGTTTTATCCCCTTGCGAGGTGGTGGTAGTTTGGGAGGTGGTGGTGGTGGTGGCTTGAATCTTCCAAGCTCGTAGTCAAAGAGCGACGTGAGAGGATCGTGATCAAGAATAAGGTTTATATCGTCTTGGATGGCATCCATGGAAGATACAAGTTCGAGTAAGGGCAAAGGAGGTTCGAGATCACCGATTGTAGTGTGTTCTACTGGAGGAAATTCAGGAGTCGAGATGCCGTTCTCCAGAGCATTCAGTGGTAAATGCAAGATGGAAAGACGATCTAACTCAGACAAAATGGTCTGACTAGTGCTTTGGACTCTCTGAGCAGTTTTGTAGAATAAGGTTCCGGGTTTGTTATAGATCATGGCATTTGTGAGTACAAGGTCAATATCACCCTGATACGAAACATTTAGTCGACTGTAGTAGGGAGGCTACAGGAAAGGCTGACCTTGAAAGACTGTAAGTCCCAATATTCATGACGATCAAGCTTATTGTCAATGATATTCCAACACATTGGATTTTGGATAACATCATAATAGTCAGGTACTTCTGCCTTCGAGACAGGATTCTTGAATAAACCTTGGCGATCGAGTCTGAACAGGGTAAAGTTGAGTATTTATGAGGTTCTGACAAATGGGGGGGCTCACGCCAAAATCCTCTCAAAAGCTAGTCGGAGGGGAGGCTCATGGGGAAGCAAAGCAAGCCCGATTACCTTTTGCATACTTTCCGCTTGTACCAGCTTTCGGCTTTCGCGTTTACGAGTGAGTAGTGCTAGATCACGAATCGCTTCCAGATCTTTCCGAAAGCGTCTCAGTAGCTGATAGGAAAGCCATGTAAGTGAATCAACGTAGTAAATAGCCTGAGAAACGTACGTCAAGCTTCGCGGCCTTTTCGACTTCTGTTTGTTGCTTATTTGCATTCGATGCTGTCCATGGCTCCAAGTGCAGTCGTTTGAGTAAAGGAGCGCCTCGTCTCGCCTCTCTCTTCAAGCTCCAATATTTGCAAACCAATGTGATGAAATCGGTTTTCTTGCGGATATTGACTTTGGCTATATAGTGTAAGATTCTCTCCACAATGATGTTCGGCACTAAAGGTGGACCTGTTTTATAAGTTTTGGCATAGGCACGAGCAGATTTAGATGTTTTTGGGTCGTTGCTATCACCATCCATCCCATCAGCAGCTAGTGCAGTAAATCGTGTTTCTTGTTGTTCTTTCTGAAAGAACTTATATCAATACCACATTCGACCAAAGTCTACTAAATAAAACGCACTGGCAGATGCTTCTCGCAATAGCAAGTCAGCATTCCGGGTTCGGTCCCTTGATTGCTCTTCATTGGCATCAATAATTTTTCTTTCCTAGCGCAAGTAGCGTGGAAAGCAAGAAAACACGAGGTCTTGCTGCATTGTATACATGCACCTTCGCGTATCCCACATATAGAACATTTCTGTGTTTTGCATACATTCAGTCATGCACATGAATAAGGGCTGAGCATCACCGACTGACCAGTTTCCACCGTTGCTTTGATATCTTGTCGACCCCTGTGATGGGTTCCATGAATACCTCATTAGCCACACGAGTTTCGGGAATCCAGATGGCACATAGAAGGTGAGCCCAATCTCCAAACACTGTTTGTTTGAATGCACCACCTTCGTTCGGACATAGAATACACGACTACATTATGAGACGTCAACAGGGCTGGAAATTTGAGTTATGAAGACGACGAACCACTGGTATTTCTGGAGAAACTGTACACTTTCGACACAACCACTGGCCCTCTGGAATATATGGAACTCCATAGCAGTCTTCACCAGGTCAGGTAGTCTGTATGGTGACGAAACAAGAGAGAAATACCTTGATGTACAGCCAAATTACATCCATCGCAGAACACAATAGCATTACTATTCTCTCCCTCAGAATCGTCGCATATAGCACATGTAGAATCTTCAGATGGTAGAGCCAGGTCAGGTTTAGGGATATTTTTAGTCTAGATGTACTGTCAGCTAATTATGTGGCATAGTTGCGAGCATACACTCAACTCACCAGATCAAACCATTCTTTCTCCAGTCTGTCCATTACTATCTCCAAGGTCTCATAAGATACCGTATTCAGCTGATCCTTCTTTCTCTCGACATTTAGTGCATCCAACCACTCCTGGTCTATGAAAGGTGGTGGTTCAGCAAGCTAAGCATAGGTCACATATGGTGTAAGTTTCACCTTGTTCATCCATATCATATTCAACTTGAATAGCCAATTCGCTCTCCAGCGGCTCTGGTACATGTCAATCATTGGACCCTTGAACCCTTAAGACGAAACATACCTATGTATCGAATGTAGTGCTCCGGCTTTTGGAATTCGGAAAAATCATTGTCTGATGGTGGCATTAGCGAAAGTGCACAAGAGTTGGTTCATAGTAACATACACCCATACGATCTGGCTTGAAGGTCATGAATACCGGCTGGCTGCGTTGACCCATCGTTTTGCACCACAACGAATGAGACTTTGGGTAGGGGAGTTTGTGTAGCAGGAGATTCAACACCTCGTGCCATAGTTTTCTCTCAGTTTCTTTAATGAATATAATTGCGCTTCCGAACATTCATTTGTACTTTGTCAAGTCAATTGCACGGGGTCGCTGAGCTCGAGGATGTCTTTGACGGATCGCGGCAAGATGGGAGGTGTCGTTACGTAAGAAAATGCATTCATGACAAACAACCATGCACACAGTTTGTATGTACTACTTAACAAGGGAAGGCACGCTCGAGGCATAACTACCATAACTAATGGCACGAGTAGCATAATGCATAATACATGTTCACAGAATTCAAATGCATCCGTAAGATAGCGGATCACGCCCATACTGCTAATCGTCAATACGATGATCAAAATCGTCCCGTCCCGTCGCGACGGCTTTGCTATGCTGTAGCCAACTTCAGAGTTTGCTGAAGCGCCCGGTAAGCCAGTTTGGACAACATCCCATCTACTACGAAAAGGCCAAGCGCCCAGCGCAGAGCCCTTCAATGATGGGTTCATCAAGATGGAATCTTCTCGGATTCCCAAGCAGCTGTGTACGAAATCAACTTGCTTTTAGATGTGCGTTAGCCAAGAGATCTTCCGAAAATGTCTTGAAATCTGCTTTAGAAGCTCTCCCAGGCTGTGAGAGCACATGGGCGGGTTATAACGTGTGCAATTATATGCGGGCTGTAGATAACTGACCTTGAGAGCATATATTACTATTACCTCCTTTTGGGTTTCTCCTTTGTTTTCTGGTTCAACTAGCTCTTTGTGGATCACCCGCAGTATATTTTCCTCCGCATCGAAAGCACAATGAACGGCTGGGCGGATCTTGATGTTCGCAGAGACTTGTCCTAGAGGTTCTCGACGAAAGACTAGCTGGATATCAGTTAAAGTGTCAAAGCTACGAGCGAATAACGTACGCAATCTGTCCGTTTGGTGTTTGGTATGTGCAAGGATTTTTATATGACCATAGATACCATCCGTAAATTCTTTACTACCACGTTTGATGAACAGCTTGACTCCCTTGAGCTCCGATTGAATTGTCTCATCCTCCTCACCGGTGAAAACTGTACAAGATCATCAAGGATTAGAATAACAGCAGACGATGAAGTCGTCGAGTCACTCACGAGATTGTAGTGGTTTCACAGGGCCAATAGCACAAAGAGTGTCAATTTCCCTTTCAATTGCGTTGCCTTTAATTGATAAAGCAGGCGTCACGTTTCCACTATTATCAGAAGCAAATTCAGGCTTCTTTCCTCCTAGGGCTTCGCTATCGTCTAACGTGCTCTTTCCTAGCGGGCTATCACTTCTCCGCCATGCAGGTGTTCCATCACTGTGAGAAGGCCCGGAAAGACTGGTTGGGAAGAAAGAACCAGCATTGGCATATGCTGAAAAAGCCTTAGCGGTGAAGACGGGAGTGGGTGGTCGAGAGGGTACTGGATGTACAATGACTGGTTCCTTTGGCTCGGAAAAATCATTGGTGGGTTCGTTGATGGGTTCGTTGATGGGTTCGTTGATGGGCTCATATTTCGAGGTTGCGACCTCATCTTTCAATTCGACGTGCGTCGAGTGGGCAGTTATCTGGTTTGGCTTACGCGAGCCATAAGTTCGTGCCAAAGTCTGAACAAAATGAAGCGCTTACCTGCTGAGAATAAGATTCTATGTCTTCTGAGTTTGCTGGATCAGCGCCGCAGAGGTTTGGCTGGGGAACAACAGGTGGGATCTAACATAAAATCAGTACGCCCTTCTACATGATACTGTTAATTAAACAGACGGCCTGGTTTTCTTCTTCGACTGGCGGAGTTTTGCTGCGTTTCTGAGGACGCTCACATTCTGCAGGCTCGTCTGTATCCTCGGTCAACTTTCGCTTTAAAGAGGCTGCAGAAGCCTTCTCATCGAGCGGCTATAAGGCTATGAGTTAAAAAGAGGAAAAGGTAGGGGGTAAGGGCTTACCTTCTCCATCGCCAGTGTTTCTCCTGACATTTCTGTACATGCCAAGCTGCCCGCTTCTACGTCGCTATTATTGGCCCATATTATTTCGTATCCTCCTGTCGGTTTGTTTCATAGATTAACTCACGGCTGGGTAGTGGTTGGTCTTGCGAGTCGTCTTGTGCAAGCAAAGCCGACAGTAGCGGCAAATGTGGCAAACCCACAAACGGCGAATTGGAAGTCGGTAACAGGAAGCATCCTAAGTGGAACTAGAGGTTGGGTTATAGAACTTGAGAGGGGGAGAAATGGAGCTGAGTCGAGGTTTATAGCTTGAGTCGTTACTGTACCAATGCCCAAACTGGGGAAGACAATAAGGATAATAAGCCGAGGCGGTCCAAGGTTTTGTCGAATGGTACGAAATACGACTTGCAACCAGGCGAATCAAGCAGGAGCAAAGATATGAGTTGTTGCCCTCGATCGCTCATACTTGACTTTTAAAGGAGCTGATAGTCTGACCTGCCGAGATACATGATGCTTGTACCTCGTTGCCTGCATGAGTCTGCATCAGGTGAGGAACATGTGTTTTGGGGCCGACGGGGCTGATAGCGCCTTGGGCTCCTTCTACTGGCAAATTGGGAAGCGATATCAAAATAATCGAGGCCCTCATTAGTGTTAGCCGAACACGAGGTGGGGGTGTGCCGATATGTTCCACAGACGCTGGGAGATTTCCCTCAGGTGAATCCAGTCACTTGAGTTGTCCATGAAACTACCCGTAGAGTCCCGTAGACAAATGAATAATTTCTCATCGAGGCCTTCAAAAATGAGGATATGGTGCCAAAAGAAACTGTAGCTTCAAGATAAAGCCAGCGAGACATTGCAACAGGCAAAGAGTACTGCTACCACGTGACTTAATTACGGCACGACGCGCCAAGGCGTTGTAACAGCAAGACTGTCGCGCCGATAACAGAGCAGAACAGAAGAGTATCATATTCGAGGTATGGATGTGTGCTCGTCTACCATTCAACCAGTTAGCACTTGGAAAACACAAGCATCATAATAGTCCAAGATCATGCAAAGAGAGAAAGCATACACGAAACTAAGCACGGCTCGGAAAGAAATCTGAAATTATAGTCAAGCAAGTTGTAAACAGTCATATTTTCGGGATATCCGAAAATAGGGTTCGTGTCTGCAGAAACTCTACATGGTTCATAGGGGAAAAGACGGAAGATGCAGCAATGGCTGTGAATATTAGGCTAAGAAATATATCATAAATGTGCAGAAAGAAAAACATAAAGAAGCACGGTGCGAAAAACACAGCGAATCCAGCGCCGCGAGAATTTTGCTTTACGAAGTCATGTAAGCACATCAATACTCAGTTTTCCTTCATTACTTCATCGGATTCGTTGACGCGAGTAAAATAGGCACTATCAACTGGTCTATCCATCGGGCTTAACGAAGGAGGTGTATTCATCGCCATCGCCAACTTGCTAGCAAAATCTGGGCTGAGCAGAGAAGGCGATGGGAGTGTGCTAGGCGTGTAATTGTCAACAGAATAGAAGCGATGGGCCAACGGGCGACGGATGGGTTGCATGTTTCCGGAGGTCGACACCGCTGGCAACTCGGGCAAGGGAGCGGTCGGAGGAGGAGCCGCCGGTGTTGCTTTACGAAGAACTCGACGCGATCTGTGGTCATACAGTCAGGATATAAGAGTATGGTTACAGAATTGCTAAAACTCACCGCAAAGCTCCACCAAAACTCAAGCTACCACTCCTAAGTCTACCTACGAGGCTGCTACCCTCATTGGCGACGCCGATGGAATAACCCATACCATCACCCCCCTCGTTCAAGCTACCACTGCGACTACGACTTGGTGAGAGAATGCCGGTGCGCTGGAATGCACTTGTGGCACTGCGTGATGGCGATTTGATATGTGCCATGGGGCCTGCGCCGACAGTTAGGCTGCTGCGACGTTTGCGCAATCGAGGACGTTCAGTGCCCACAGCAGAGTTCGTGTTGATCGTAAATATCCCATTGCTCATGCTGGTAGCATTTGAGTCGTACGAACTGGGAAACACAGAGCTGCTTGGTGTGGGTGTTAGGTTCATGCTACGGTCGATTGGATCAACAGGGCTAGATGGAAGTGGAACAGGAGACGAGGGAGGAGCTGGACTGCCCGCGATGCCCTGGTAAGGTGCGAGAAGGCCAGAAGAAAAAAAGTCAGAATAGGTCGACATGGTCGTTGCTAGAAAGAAAAAAAGGGAGGATAAAGGAAAAGACAAAAGGCAAAGTTGAACTTTCAAATAAGGGCCGCGGTCATTTGGTTTCGAAGTGATTATGTCATCCTATTCTGCATGCCACGAAAAAAAATCAATGGCCAACGTGGGGATCGAACCCAAGACCTTCGCGTTATTAGCACGACGCTCTAACCAACTGAGCTAGTCGGCCGTTGAACATTTTCCTATGCGCAGACCCACGAGTCAGTCCCATTTATGTTCGGACCTGGGCCTGTCTTGCACCATGATGTGACTCCTTGAATCTAATCTCCATATCCCATTCATTCAACTACTCATGGCGCCCTCCAAACGTAGTGCATCATCTTTGAATAAAAAGACAAAGTCTACCAACTCTACGCCCATGAAACAAGCTTCTCTTTCCTTTAGTAGTGCCAAACGCACTAATTCAAATATCAGTACTCAAGGAAACAAGCCACTGAAGAGATCTTCATCCCTTGTGCACAGAAAAAGCGAAGGGGAGGAAGGTGCAGGAAGCGAAGACATAATTGAAGTCTCGTCGGAGGATGACCATGGAATTACTGCAAAGAAGGTTCGAGTTTCCCTTCGTAAATCGGACGCCCGAGGAACGTGGGTGAAGCAGGGGAGCCCGGTGACAAGCGTTGTAATCAAGAAAGAGGCGTTGGATCCGAATGACAAGGCCGGAAGATGGAGAAAGCATTACGATGCTGTTAGGGGGAAGATGGATAATATGGAACCTAGTGAGTACCGCATATAGCCAGTTCAGATGGCAATGATATATGGGTAGCGAGAGGGACTTATTCATAGAGATCTTGTTTCTGTTTGTTTTTATCATTTGTTAGAATCGGAGTTGATCGTCTTATTTCCAGTTCATTCCGCAGGTCAGACTAAAGTACATGAAATTCTCCGCGTCTTTGATATGCAAGTCAAAGGGTTCCTCCGTCTTCGTTTTTATTCGCTGATAAATTTAAATAGGTCCTACGAGTATGGTCCATGTGTTGGAATGAGTCGTCTTGAAAGATGGGAACGAGCTGATGTTCATGGTCTCAGTCCTCCCATAGAGGTATGACTTACTAGGATTGCAATTTCGTTTTCTCGTCTGACTTGTGACCACTCCTGGCTCGACTAGGTTCGGGAGATACTATCGACTAAGGAAGGGATGGAGAACGACGAATTCTCCCAGTGCGTTTTATATGGCGAAGTTTAGCTTTGGGAGTGTAAGTACATGATGAGACGTTGATAAGTTTATTGAATTATTAAGTTATATTGTACTGAATATTCTTTAGTGTATTATTGTAGGCCACTTGCCGCAGCCCCGTGTATCTTATACTGTATTTTACGTTTTGCTGTCAATGGTTCAGATTTGCTACTACTTATGTATCATTTCACATATTTCAACTGTAAATCCGAGTCTCTCACGGGTGTGTGGAACATTCCTTTACCCCAGCCCAGACAGACTTGTACTTTCTCTACATGTACATTTGAACGACAACTTGAAGCAAACTTTGTTGACTGTCGCCTTGCATTGAACTCTTTGGGTTTATGCTTCCAAGCAAGTCATCAAGGTCCGAACGTCGCTCGCATCTCGTCCGCACGCAATAGCCTCGGAAGACCCAAGGACGTTGGCTGGGAGTTGATAGAAGCCATCACCTCGCGAAAAATACTCGGGTCCTGACACACCAGCTTCTCTATCTCAGACGACTGGAAGCTTGACCCGCGGCTCTGAGATGACTATAACAGCCAAGTGTTTGGTGCTGTAAAGCAGAGTCTGTAGGGTGTTTCTCTACAGACTCCAAGATGCGACCTGAAGCTGTGGCCGCGTATCGCCTTCGATTTCGCCGTTGCCTCCTTCCAGCGTCGTTGATGGCTTTAGCGTGCCTTTTTCTTTCCTCGTATGGCTCATAACTGACCAGTGTAACCAAGGAACCTGACAGAGACCATATATGAACATATTTTCTTGGACTTGCTACCACGGGTGAGAGAAGACTTCCGCAATGGATTGGCTCTCACGGGGATCTTCATCTGGTCGGTTACTTATACAGCCACACACTCCTCGCCGCATGCTATTCAAAAAACTTCTTGCATACAGGAAGTTCACTATTTTAAACCCGGGTCCATTGAAGACACCGGCATGTTAAGTGAGCACCTAATCTAACCAAACAAACACGAAGGATCATTCGCAGCGACCGTGGAACAAGATATTGGTGTCTATCAGGGCTCTCACGGAACCTCGAGGGCTTGGTCATGCCGTAGATAACGGTTATCTACCTCGAGATAATCGCCTTTCTAGTAGCCAGTTCATTTTTTCTGTCGTATCCACATTTTTGGCGAGCGGGTATAGGTTATTGCCCATTAACCTCGGGGGTATGTTGTACTTTTCAGTCCATCTGGTCACGCAGATGAGTGTTATGCTTATGCGAACTGTTACCCTCGGTGTTAGCGCGACCGGACTCGGAAGCTCTGGTCCACCATGTCTTCTCTACAAAGGCTATGTCATCCGACAATCTCTGTCTATATTTCTCGGCTAAGGTAACGATCCTCCTCTTAATTCATAATTTTGCCTATAATATTACTACAATTAAATTCGTTTGTGATTTATCCTTCCCATTTGAGAAGTACCTGGCGCGTAAAGAAGATTTTGCCCTGGACGGCGCCTTAGGTTTTCTTTTGCGAGGGCGAATTCCTAAACGATGAGTGTGAGAAGCGCAAGGAGTATAAATCTGGTTTGCACGCACAATCGGGCTTTCCTTCACAAGTCTTAATGCTCTGGATCGGACTCAGAGAAGTTCTGTTATCACCCCTGACTCCGAGTCGCATCCTATAAAGCTAGCACTATTTCCCACTCGAAACTCGTAAAGTCCTGCCTTTCTTTTGTCAACTATGCCTGCACCTGTCATCAGAGAATCTGAGGTCGATGTCCTCATCATCGGAGCTGGCCCTGCCGGGTTAATGGCTGCCAATGCCCTCGCCAGAGCAGGGACTAACGTTAGAATTATTGACAAGAGGTATGTGCGTGAAACGCAATCCTGTACAAGGCTCATGATTGTTCCAAGACCGGCTATGGTCGCTGCAGGTCAGGCAGACGGTATATCCCCACGCACCATTGAAGTTTTTCAGGTAAATAATCGTCCATATTCATCTTGGATACATTCTTTTTATTGACTACAATGAACAGAGCTACGGGATAGGTGAACGTCTGTTAAGGGAAGCATGTCAAGTGCATATGGCTGTGGGTTGTTTTTTCACTGCTCGCATCACGGGGCTGAACCTTTCTCCAGGCCTTTTACAATCCTAACATGACCGGCGGCATCGAGGTAGGTTAATATGAGAGATATGTTCCTCATTCGCTAGGGAATCTCATGTACAATATAAGCGAACGGGCCGTGCTCCCGACGTAACGGCTCCAACAGCGCGGTATCCTTTCGAGGTCAGTTGAGATCCTCGTAACGCATTGCACACACTAAATTGATACACAGGTGGCCCTGCATCAAGGAGGGATCGAAGCGATCTTCTTGGATTCGATGCACTTGCTGGGCACGGATGTAGAACGACCCGTAATACCCACCTCAATAGAGCTTTCCACTGATGAAGCCGAGTTGACGGACTCAGCAGCTCATCCTATCCGAGTATGTACTCTGATCTATTGCGTACAAGGAGACACTCACATTCAAACACCTTTTTAAAGGTGACTTTGAGGCATCTGGATCCATTGGACGGCAAAGCAGAGACAGAGATAGTGTGTGCAAAGTTTGTCCTTGGCGCCGATGGTGTGTACACAATCCGTGATGATGGTATGGTTGTAGTAAATTTAGATGATACTGCAGGCGCCCACTCTTGGGTTCGCAAAATGTTTGATATCACTATGGATGGAGAACAAACAGGTGAGTACTATACTTATTCGAGTCGTGTGCCTTTTAACCTATTTTTGGTGCTTTTGCAGAGTTCATTTGGGGTGTGCTCGACATGATACCGGAAACCAACTTCCCTGATATTCGGAATAAGAGTCTTGTCCACTCAAACAATGGATCTTGCCTTGTTGTTCCCCGGGAGAAAGACAAAATACGCATATACATGCAATTATCGGACAAAGATGTTTTAGATCCAAGTACAGGCCGAGTTGACAAGGACCGGATGGGTCCTGAGCAATTGTTGCAGGTAAGGTAGCTACGAAGTTGCCTCACAATATGCTCTCATTATAGGGGCGTCTTAGGTCGCACAGAAGTCACTCCACCCTTACAAACTGGCTCCAGTTGATGAAATTGACTGGTGGACGCTATATATTAGTACGTCTGATCGATCCATACTGTGACGAGCCTACCTCACACAGTTTGTTTTACGTAGTTGGTCAGCGTGTGGCGTCTAGGTTTTCTGTTAAAGAGCGAGTATTCATCGCTGGGGATGCTTGTCATACGCACTCTCCTAAAGCGGGTACGTTTTTTCCTTGCCCTTTATTATCCTTCGGTTTACTAATTAGGGATGTCCGCAGGCCAGGGCATGAATGCTAGCATGAATGATGCTCACAATCTTGGTAACTCGCATTTGATTTTCTGCCTATACACACAGTCTTATCATCAATGTGCAGTATGGAAACTTACACAAGTGCTGAGAGGCTGGGCGGATATGTCGCTGTTAAAAACAGTGAGCTATTCGTCATTTAAGTTTTATACTCGGTGCTTAGTATCACGGATTGCAGTATGAATCAGAACGTCGAAAATATGCCCAAGATTTGATTGCTTTCGACAAAGACTTCTCCACACTCTTTTCGGGCAAACCACAGACTCATGAAAATGAAGATGGCGTTACACACGAGGAATTCCTAAGGTTTGTGTATCCCAACGCAAACTTGATCGTCATGTTATATTTATTGGGCCGAATAACAGAGCGTTCCAGACGTACGGCGGCTTCACCAGTGGCATAGGAGTACACTATAGCAATTCGGCGATTGTTAACAACGCTCATCAGTCATACGCCAGCAATCTCATCATCGGCGAACGAGTACCGCCCAGGGTTTTCGTACGAGCTGCTGATGCTTGGCCATATGAACTACAGGATCTGCTTCCGTCGGACTCACGCTTTAAAGTCATTGTATTCACGGGTAACTACAATGATACGGCTCAGCGTGGAAACGTGGATGCACTCGCGAAGGAACTGGAAAAACCAGAAAGGTTCTTGAAGGTTTACGTACCAGGAGGAAAGGAGTCGATGTTTGACATTATCACGATTAGTCAAGGAAAGAAGGAAGAGGTGGACTATCTTGAGTTCCCCGATGTGCTCAGGCCCCATTGGTCAAAGTAGGCCAATTTCTCACGTGCACAGATGCAGGCGCTAATACCTTCGACATAATTTAGGGTTCTTATTGACGACACCGATGTCACAGGGAACATTGGTGGCCAGGGATATTCATATTACGGTGTTGGACCCGAGGGTGCACTGGTTGTTGTCCGCCCTGATGGTTATGTCGGTATGGTTGCCCCGCTACAGAAAGTTAACGACATCGACACCTATTTTGCGTCTTTTCTGCGGCCGAGCTTGTAGGCTATCACCTTGGAGATAGTTATCTTATTGTGAGATTTAGTGAACCCATAACTTATAGGATCTGGGCTTCTTCGCGTGGCTCGGTATGAAGTTGGAGTACAGGGGTACAGCGTACAATATTGATTGCTTCTTGACTCTTCAAGGCGGTAATGCACTAGACAAATTGGATCTCAGGCAGTTTTATCAAGTGCACGGCTACTAAGTATCGTTGTAACAAGAATTGATGGCAGTAGGGACGTAAAGTTGTGCAGGTAGGAGAAGTCAGGTGCGAGCCATTTTAGTCTGTGATGGATCATCATGGATGAGTGGCATCAAATTATACTTTGAATTATACTTTGGCAACAGTTTTGAAGACATGCTGTAACTCCATTTGGGAACAATGATGTGTTATTATTATTTTTGTACATCCATATGTTTTGTGAGCAAATTATAGGAATCTGACAAAGAAAAATCAGCATCGTTGATCAATGTCTGCTTATATTGGTCTGACTTAACAAAAGAACTACTAAGAGTCATGAGCCGCAGCCAGAAATGACAGATATAATTATAATTAGATAGATTCTCAACCATGTGTGTTTGGTGATTTAGGCTGAGCACTAACTTGGGATTTG